AAAAAAAAAATCCTCCTGTCTCAGGCTCATAGTCGCTGGAAGTGCAGGTATGAGCACCACACCCAGTTTGAGATCTGTTTTCAAACCTCATCTGAAGTGTCCCTGTCTGTAAGTTCCATAGAGACAGCTTCCAAGTCATAAGATAAAGTTTCCTTTGTCACGTGTTCAGGGCCATTCACAATCTGTTCTCAGCCCATCCAGTTAAACCGTGTCCCCCACCTGTGCTCACAGAACAGTGTACTCACTATCTGGACAAGGAGATCTATCATAAAGGTCCTGGCCACGCCCTTGTGCTGGGTGAGCTACGAATCTTTAAGGGCTGGGTGAAGAACACCACCCGTCTCCATCATGAGATGCTCTCTCAAGCCCTTTGTCCCCAACCAAGGGCAGGCGCACAGTCTTGCTACTTGGACATTGGTGAATGTCCAAACAGTGGTTGGCTTGCACTGGACATTTTTGGGTACGACCGAAATTGAGCTGTCTGAAACACTTCTATCCCATTCCCCAAACCACTAATTTATTCCTTTGGAAACATATGAAGCAGGCGTCCTTCTGGGCTGCCACCATGTCCTCCCATAGAGCTTTTCTGGTTTATTTTACATTTTGTGGTTCTTGGGGCTTGGAGGCTTTTGCGGGAGGGGAAAAGGCTTCATGTAGCCCAGGCTGGCCTCGAACTCTTGATCCTTCTGCTTTGGCCCCTTAAGTGCTGGCGCTACAGGAGTGAGTGACCAGGCATGACGTCCTTCTCCCTAGTCTTGAGTGAGTGGGATTGCACCCATCACTTTCTTACTAGGCTGACTGTGAGCAAGACCACAGGGCATAAGTGTGGCAGCTTGCCACGCTCATATAGCTCTCACTTTAGATGGGGGAGTTCTACCTGCAACTCCCCTCTGCACACGCAAACTTCCATAGCAACTTCCCTGTAAGCCCGCCCCGGCTCCTCTCAGCAGAGTCAATCATTTCCTCTTCTGTCTTCCCATAACTCTCTTACCACATTGCATCCAAGTTCTCCCCTGCTTGGTCTCTCTGCTGGAGCATGCTCTCCTCAAGGACAGGAACCAGGTCCCAGTCACCCCAGAGTCTCAAATGCTAGCTGGGCTCATGGGTGCCTTTCTCCCTCAAGGTGAGTATACAGCACACAGCAGTCAGCTCTCCTCGTCACTTCCTGACACCTCAGGTCCTTGTCATCAATTATAGTCTGATCGTATTAAATGGAAAATTACAAAACAATTCCTAAGTTGCGCTGCTGCTGTTGTTATTACTATTATTATTGGTTTTTCGAGACAGGGTTTCTCTGTGTCTCCCTGACTGTCCTGGAACACTCCCTCTGGAGACCCAGCTGGTCTCAAATTCAGATATCCACCTGCCTCTGCTTCCCCGAGGGCTGGCATCAAAGACATACACCACCACCACCCAGCATTCTAAGTTCTAAATAGTTTAATATAGTGTCATAATTGGTGTCTAATTATTAGTTGTGTTAGTAATCTTTTACTACGACTATAAATTGCACATTATCATAGGTATGTATTTCTAGGAAAGTTTGTGTGTGCGCGCATGCGCAAACATGCTTCAGCCACACGAGCCCGCTTCAGCAGTGCTCATGGTTTCAAGTATCCACTTGAGATCTTGGCATGCACTGCCTTAGGTAGGGACACTTAGATGAGAACCCTACCAATCATTTAGACTGAAAGCAGGGTTCTGTCAGAGACCAGCATCTTTACACGGCCTCCCCCTCGCTTCCCGATGCAACTACACATTTCCCAGTGGCCCTCCAGGCCTCCGGCTCCCATCATGACCAAGATTCATCTACGCCAAGGTCACAGTGGGCTTCCGAGCACCATTTGCTGGTGGCCTCTGTGAGTCTGTCTTCCCTCCTGCAGTGTCTCCTTCTCCTCTCCACCTGCCAAAATACTACGCATGCTTCAAGGCCCAGTCCCAATGTCATTTTCTCCCTGAAGTGTCGCATCAGAAGAGGTGGCTTGGCTTCTTGCTGCTAATGCTCAAAGTCCTTAGTCATTTAGTCATTCCCCAGGCTGCTCAGGGTCCTGAGTTTTGTAACAGCAACGTCCTGAGTGTGGGTATTTGCAGGCTGTAGCGTAGTACAGTGCATACAGTCGGTGCTCAATAAATACCGGAGAATACACACTACACCTGCAGGTGAAGCGACAGCAAGCTCAGCCCCCAAGGAGCAATTGTTTCTTTCCTTAATAGGAACAATTTTGCCTCAAAAACAACAGAGGGCAGGGATTGCCCCTCCTCCCCTCCCCCAGCCACGGTTACAGAGGCTGAGCGGGTTTGACGGGCAGTTTCTTTGGCTCCACCCTCTTTCTTCCCCCCACCCCACCCCCAACATTGAACAGATCAACTCCTGCAGGACAGGAGACACCTCAGACACAGCGCACACGGGACACATGGTCCCCAGCCCGAGGCACCCCTGCGCCAACATGGTCCAGACAGGTGTCTGCTCCCTCTGCCTCCCCGGGTACCTCACCTCTGCCCCGCAGGCCACCTTGCTCTTCAGCCTGGTGCTCGCCTCCTTCCACTCGTCCTGCGGCACAGGTAATAGTTCTGAGCTTTATTCTTGGCCACCTTGGAAAGGGGAGGGCAGGACCGAGGGGGAGGGGAGGATCCCTTGGCCCGGGTTGGTCCTGCACTTTGAAGAGAGGAAACAAGTTGCTTGTTTCCCTGGAGGATTAAGCGGGGAGCTGGGGTGCCAGTCGGCTGGGGGGGTGTCTTGGGTTTGCCTGTGACAATTCCTTTGCTAGGACAGCAGCAGTCACCCCTGTTGGCCCTTGCCACAAAACAAAACAAAACAACAACAAATTTGCGGACTGGTGGACTGGGCCAAACTGGTAGAAAGGGATGTGCGCGGCTCCTGGGGCTCAGGATGAGCCCTCGCCTTCCCTTAGCGCTCGCTGGCAGAGTTTCCCTCCAACCCAGACTTCTCTAAGTCCAGAAGCTGACAACACTCAGCTCTCCAATCTTTCTGGGTGCCCCAGGGCGGGCATCAGAAACTTGGGGTTCTCACCCCGGGGTCTCAAGAGCCCTGGCTTTCCCAGACCAGGCTCTGCGCCTGAGCATCTAGGGGTCTGGCTTTGCTTTGACCCTGCTCAGCGGGTCCCACTCCCGACACACACCTCTCAACACACAGCCATCCCGAGTCTCTCCTGTAGGGTCTGTCTGGGCCGCTCTTGGGACCCTCCAGAGCCACAGAGCCTTGACCTCTCTTCATCCCACATACTGCCTGTGTCATCTAGAGCAAATTACTTCACCTCTCTGTGCCCAGATTCGTAACACTGGGGGTAAACAGAGCCGTGATTCATAAAGTTACTTACATGGAAGAAAAGAGTTAATAGCTTGTAAAGAATTTACAAGCTGGGTGTTGGTGGCAGCACTCGGGAGGCAGAGACAGGTGGATCTCTGTGAGTTCGAGGCCAGCCCGGTCTGAGTTCCAGGACTGCCTCCAAAAGCAACAGAGAAACCTTGTCTCAAAAACAAACAAACAAAAATAACCCTAAAATTGTAGCAAGCACACAATGAACAGATCAGGTATGGCTATTCTTAACTTATCTACCACAGCCGGGCGTTGGTGGTGCACGCCTTTAATCCCAGCACTCGGGAGGCAGAGGCAGGAGGATCCCTGTGAATTCGAGACTAGCCTGGTCTACAGGAGCTAGTTCCAGGACAGCCTCCAAAGCCACAGAGAAACCCTGTCTCAAAAAACAAAAAAAAACAAACAAACTTATCTACCACAAATAAGAGTGTTCATTTTTTGTTTGTTTTTGCGGTGGTTGTTTTTCTTCTGTCTACCATGACAGAGTCATGTTGAGTCTCCCCCTCATGTACCAGTCCCTGGCTGGTTCTTAGAATGCTGAAGGGTGACATTCAAACACTTGGAGATTCCACTGGACTACTCCATCTGAAGCACCCAGATAGTGAGTGGGGTTTGACCTCTAAAAATGGCAGCTTCTCAAGAGTGGTGGCAGCACACAGCTTTAATCTCAGTCCTCCGAGGTAGAGGCAGGCAGATCTCTGAGTTCAAGGCCAGCCTGATCTATAGAGCAAATTCCAGGACAGCTAGGACTACACAGAGAAACCATGTCTCAAAAACCAATAAAAAAATAAATACCAATAAATAAGTATGACAATTTCATAGGGTTAACCTAATATTGGCATCCAATTAGGTTGTTTTTCTTTTCTATTCACTTATTCTGGCTGAGAACATCCCCTCCCTAGGTGGAGAGACCAGATCAAGGCTAAGGAAGTGGTTTGGTTTTGAAGGAAAATTCTAATGCCCAGGAATCAGTTTCTTCAAAACAAAGCTCACCTCTAAGCTGTGTAAATAATTTACAACAGTAGTCAGATTGTATCAAGGTAATTACCATACTTTTCAGTGGCAGGAGTACTGGGGACTGGGTGGCAGCAGTTTTGTGGTTGTGGTTAAGCTCTCTCCCTCAATTACCCTGTCCTGTGTCAACAGCACCTCTGAAGGGCCCGCTGACCTGCAGGCATTGGGCATTGAGAGACCTAAGCTCTCCTTTACATTTTCAAGAAAGGTTCTTCAAAAATCAGTCTCTTGGGCCTGGCAGGAGCTCATTTGGGGGATAGCCTGCCTAGCACAAACCCCAGGATCAATCTCCAGCACCACTGAACACAGCACAGCGGTGGTCATCTGTCACCTCAGTACTCAGGAGGTAGAGGTAGGAAAATCAGGAGTTCAAAATCTTCCTCAGCTGCATAGAAGGCTCAAGGCCAGCTTGAGATACAGGAGAGCCTGCCTTTAAAAACACAAATGAACAAAACAAAACAAAAGACAAACAAAACTCCTGCTTTTAACCTGCCTACCTAGATTGGTATTTGTGTGGATAGAATTTTCTTCAATGGTAGGTGCTTCTGGTTGAACTGTGCTTCCAATAAGGTGACCACCAGCCACAGGTGACACTTGAACACACTTCAGATATGACTAAGGCGATGGATGAGAATGTGGTATCCGTGCTGCCACTAAGTCTGAGTATTGGGCAAAAGCCTGGAGATTTAGTTAAAAGTAGAGACGTCCAGCCGCTTGTACTACGTGCGTCTATCCAACTCTAGTCATCTTCCTTATTCCAGGGAAGAGCAGCCTTATATATACTTACAGCACAGTGGAGAAACCCCAGGCGTCAGAGCTTGTGGAAAAGCTCGTGTTTTCCCATGTGTAGTGGGGCGAGGCCTGGGCTGTAAGCCAGGACTAGAACACAGGATGTAACTGTGGTCATTGGCTGACAAGCAACTCACAGAGACCCCATGGAGGCTGGGACCCAACCTGAGAAAGATGAACTTTTAACTTAAATGCATTTTAAAAGTCAACTTAATGGCTGGGCGTTGGTGGCACACGCCTTTAATCCCAGCACTTGGGAGGCAGAGGCAGAGGCAGGCAGATTTCTGAGTTTTAGGCCAGCCTGGTCTACAGAGTATGTTTCAGGACAGTCAGGACTACATAGAGAAACCCTGTCTCAAAAAAAGGGGGGGAGAGTTGGAGAGATGGATGATGGCTCAGTGGTTAAGAATGCTGGCTGCTCTTCCAAAGCACCAGGGTTCAATTCACATTGCAGTTCACAACTATCTGTAATTCCAGTTCCAGGGGATCTGACACTTTTGTCATACAACCATACATGCAGGCAGAAAACCAATGTGCATTATTTAAAAAAAAAAAAAATCATCTTAAATAGTCCCAGTGGCAAGGAGCCGCTGTCTGGAGTAGCGAAAACACAGCTTTTCTCCCCTGAATCTGAACATTGATCTCTGTAACACAGCACTGCTCCACAAACTCTTGACAGATTGTTTCCATCCTTTACTGTCCCTTGCTTGTCAACTGAGAGACAGTTACAAGCCCTGACGATTGTGGAAAGCAGTAGACGTGTTCACATGGAGATGTAGATATTGTTGATAGCTGTATGCCTGGGTAACTACATCACAACCATCAGAGACAAAGAATCAGGGTTGGATTTCAGTGGGTTATTTGTTCACGAGTTAGAAAGAAACTGAATTTGCAGTAAAGGAGACATTCTGGATTGTTCAGGGCTTGATTCAATTAACACAGAATGGCCACCCTATTGCTATAGCTGTCTGCACAGGAAGCAGTGTCTGCAGCGGGTCCTTTTTGGTTTTGCTCTGTTCTTCTTTTGAGGCACGGTCTTGCCATGTAACCCTGGCCAGCTTGGAACTTGCTATGTAGATCAGACTGGCCACAAACTCAAAGATCCCTTAGGTTCCTCCTCCCAAGTGCTGGGATTAAAGCAGTATGCCACCATGCTCTCCGAAGCGATTTTTTTTAAGAAGAGGAGGGAGAAGAGGAGGAGGTGGGGGAGAATGAGGAGGTGAGGATGATAGTGTCTTTGGATGAGGAAAAAGTGACAATAAAAGGGAGTTCAATTTGGGTCAACATGCCACCAAGATATCTGCAATCCATGTTTATTCCTGTACTGTTTATAGTTCTGAGAAATGGTGCCAGCCTGGGTGTCCATCAGTGGATGGATGACAGGCATGTGGTACAGATGCATGATTTTTACACAGACATAGGGGAAAAATGATGTCACTTGCAGGAAAAATGGATGGAACTAGAAATCATGTTAAGCAAAATAAGCTGAACTCTGAAAGACATATTTCACGTATTTATCTCATATGTGGACTCCAGATAAGTACAGGGAGATTTATAGTCTATTCCATGAATGTGGACGAGGGAGCTGTTCTAGTGTGCTTCTCTACTGCTGGGGCAAAGCACTGACCAAAGGCAAAATTCAAAGAGGGAAGAATTGTTTCACCCGAATTTACAATCTACCAACAAGGGATGCCAAGGCAGGAACCTTGAAGCAGCAGCTGAAGCAGAGGCCATGAAGGAACACTAGTTTGCTCTGCCATGGGTCATGAAGCTTGCCTTTTTTTAAAATTTTTTTTATTTTTTGGTATACAGCATTCTGCTTCCATGTATATCTCACACCAGAAGAAGGCAGCAGATCTCATAATGGATGGCTGTGAGCCACCATGTGGTTGCTGGGAATTGAACTCAGGACCTCTGGAAGAGCAGTCAGTGCTCTTAACCTCTGAGCCATCTCTCCAGCCCAAAGCTTGCCTTTTTATACAAACCAGGACTATGTGTTAAGGAATGGCACCTTCCACAGACAGCTGGGCCCTCCCACACATCAGTCTTTAAAACCTCCACAGCCATCTTTAATCAAGAAAATGCCCCCCAACTTGCCTACAGGCATGGCATCTGATTGAGGCAATTCCCCAGGTGACTCTACTTTACCTCAAGCTGAAGAACAGCACAGGGTAACTTGGAAAGAGGAAAAGGACCCATAGGATGGGAGATGGAACACGGGTTGGTAATAGGTAGGTGAGTATGTTCAGGGCACATGACCTCCAGGAATCAATGTGTTATAATAAAACCTATCTTAGGCTAATTTAAAAATTAAAAATAGAACAAACTCTGTCATTTTATAAGTTTAAAGAAAGAAAGGTAGCTGTGTGTGGGGGCACACCCCTTTAATTGCAGCATTCAGGAGGCAGAGGCAGGTAAATCTCTGAGTTCGAGGCCAGCCTGCTCTACAGAGTGAGTTCTAGGGCAGCCAGGACTGACTATACAGAGAAACCCTGTCTCAGAAAACCAACCCCCCCCCCCCGGCAAAAAAAGGAAAAAAAAAAGGTAAGAATAATCCTTCATTTGGACTTAAAATAAAAATACCACTTGCTGACTGGGGGACTTTACCAGAAAGGCACTTTTGATCACAGTTCTGGAGTTGACTGCCTAGGTCAAGGTGTGAGCAGGCTTGTTTTTTTTCTCTCCTGGGGTTACAGATGGTCTCTCTCTCTCACTGTGACCATGAATAGTCATGCCATTCCTCTAAGCCCAAACATTGGTGGGGTCTCTTCCTCCTTTTTTTTTTTGTTTTTCAAGACAAGGTTTCTCTGTGTAGCTTTGGAGCCTATACTGGCACTCGCTCTGTAGACCAGGCTGGCCTCGAACTTTTACGGAGATCCACCTGCCTCTGCTTCCTGAATGCTGGGATTTTAGGACTCTGAATAACCTTATTTAACTTTAATTACTTCTTTTGTCTGTCTCCAAATACAGATGCATGGGAGGGCTAGGGCTTCAGCTGCTGAGTGTGGGGAGTACTCTTTATCCCTCACCAGATTCTTTTTTGTTTTTTTAAAAGATTTTATTTATTTATTATGTATACGTCTATACAGTCTTCTGCCTGCATGCCAGTAGAGGGCACCGGATCTCATTCCAGGTGGTTGTGTGCCACCATGTGGTTGCTGGGAATTGAACTCAGGACCTTTGGAAGAACAGTCAGTGTTCTTAACCACTGAGCCATCTCTCCAGCCCCCCTCACCAGATTCTTAAAGTCACATAAAGCTCTACTGTCTCCACTGGCCCTTCTTGAACAGTCATTATACTCACTACTCATGCACAAAATAATCCAAACCCTCTGCCTGAGGCTCACTTTGCCCTCTGCCTGACACTACCTCTTGCCTTTCCTTGCAGAAGCCAGCAGCGTCAACTCAACCCTGAGTATACACCACCCAGACCCTGGAACCCTGGAGCAGTGTGCCAGTAAGCCTCCCCTGTCAACTGCCCTGACCCTAGAGCCACCCCTGGAACTAGGAATGAAACTTGGGCCCCTCTCTGTCCACTAATAGGTGTCGGGTGGCCCGGTGACTGCCTAGTCTTCCCGGGTAATGGGGGAAGGAGCCTGTCGCAGCACTGTTCACAGACAAGGTTAAACACTAGCTTGGATTTGATCACAGTTTAGTCTCATGTATGGTGAATTTAACGACTCATGCCTTGGCCAGCAGCCAAAGGTGCCCTGAGTGCAAATGTTCTAGCATTTGGAGGTGAGAAGTCTATTTTAAAAAGGTGGTCCACCAGGCAATGGTGGTGCACAGCTTTAATCCCAGCACTCCAGAGGCAGAGACAGATAGATCTCAGTGAGTTTGAGGTCAGACTGGTCTACAGAGCAAGTTCCAGGACAGCCAGGGCATAACAATAGAGAAACCCTGTCTCAAACAAACAAAATCTAGTTGTTCCAACCTCTGCCCAAAGTAGGAGCTGTTTGTAGACTCTTCCCTGGTTTCCATTCATCCACATGTTCCCAGGGTCAGGATGCTCAGAATTTCTATCACACATACCCAATCAACAGAAAGTTTTGCTTCATCTCAACTGTGGCCCCTTTATCCCATCCTCATCTAATGCCCGACTGCCCCTCCATCTCTACACTTACCAAGAGGGGATGAGCAACAGTACCTAGGAGGCCGAGAATACAGCTTTGGGGTCTACAGACTGGAATGTGAGCCCTACTTCTGTCATCTTGTGATCTTGGGCGAAGTACACTTTGAGTTTCTTTGTATGAAGCAGGGATGATAGCTGGGGCTGAACTGAAGCTCACCGGCAGAGCGTATGCTCATCCAAAGCCCTGGGCTCAATCCCCAGCACCCGAACAGTGGTAATGAAGCCGGTAGGTAATAAATACCTTGGGTGCATAAAGCGAAGACTTAGTATATGCTTAACAAGCAGCTTCCAAGGGCCCCCTGCTGTTTCCTGTTCTCATTCTTAACTAATTTGAGAGGGAATGCGGGAGTGTGGCCAGGGTGCTACAATCCCATTCTTGCTTTCCCCCATCAGATGTCGACTTCTGCCCGCTAGCCTCCCTGTGTTGCCAAGCTTCAGTGGATGAATACGGCTGGATTGCTGCGGCGGTCGGCTGGAGCCTCTGGTTCCTCACCCTCATCCTGCTGTGTGTGGACAAACTGATGAAGCTAACTCCAGAGGAGCCCAAACACGTGGCAGCGTGAGCGATGTGCTGTGGCCCCAACAATGGCTATTCCCAAGTGTATGGATGACAGGGAGGGGGAGGAGCTTTCTAGAAGCAGAGTTTCTGTCACTTTAAAGTCATTTGCTCCTCCAAGTCTCTGGCTCCTTTATTATGGATTTGTTGCGGTGGAATCCCAGCACTCGGGAGGCAGAAACAGGCGGATCTCTGTGAGTTCGAGACCAGCCTGGTCTACAGAGTGAGTTCCAGGACAGCCTCCAAAGCAATACAGAGAACCCCTGGGGGGGGGGGCGAATTAGATACAGCCAATAGTAAACGCTCAAGCTGAGAAAGCTCGTTCTTCCGTTTGGGCTGCTATATGGGAGGTGGTGGACACCCAGCTTGTCCCTTCAGTGTGAGCAGACTCGCTTTTGTGTATTTCATCTGCAGCTTTGTTTTGTCTGATTTTTGTGAGTTTCTTGGTTTGTTTTGAGACAGAAATCTCTTGTAATCCAGGCTGGCCTTGAACTCAACGTGTAACTGAGGACTGGTTTCCTGTGACCCAGGCTAGCCTTGAACTTCTGATCCTCCCACCTCTGCCTGGGTTTATA